CTCACTATGTAGACCAGGCTGGCCTTGAACTCCCAGAGATCCACCTGCCTCTGCCTCCCGAGTGCTGGGATTAAAGGCATGAGCCACCACTCCTGGCTCAAATCATTATTTTTAAAAATCAGAATTTTAAATGTAACTTCAAAGACAGTCACAGGAATTTTTACTTCATCAAGATATGATTACACCAGTATTTTCTATCTGATTTGCATGTGCAAATGTATATACTTTGGTGTGTGTATGTGTATATGTACATGTATGTGTAGGTCTTTGGGTGTCTTTCTCAATTGCTCTCCATTTCATTCTTGTGTATTTGTGTGCTTATACATATGTAGGACAGAGGTCGACATCTGGTATCTGGCTCAATGGCTGTCCACGGTTTTATTTATTAAAATTGTTTTTTAGATTGGTTTATTTGTGTGTGTGCATGAGTATGGGCACCTGCATGCTGCAGCATGTAGGTGGAGATCAGAGGACAGCTTGGAGGGGTCATTTCTCTCCTTCTACCATGTAGTTTCTGAGGATTGAATTTAGGTCTTTTGGCTTGGTAGAAAGCACCTTTTACCGGCTGAGCTAGCTCACTGGCCCCTTCTACCTTATTTTTTGAGATAGGGTCTCTCATTTAACCTGGAGCTTGCCAATTAGGGGAGACTGGGTGGCCATCAAGCCCCAGAGATCTTTTGTTTCTGCCTCCCTAGGACTGGGATAAAAGGTACACATTGCCATGCCTGGCCTTTTTACATTGACTCTGTGGAATTAAACTCAGGTACTTATGTTTGCGCGGGAAGCACTTGATACCTCAGCTATCAACCCAGCCCTTTTAATTTTTATTATTATTTTATTTTTGCTGTTGCCAATGCTTGTGTCCAGATCATCACAGTCCTCCACCAATGATCTTCCCTTAGCTATACCACCAGCTCCTGTATACGTATTTTTATTACCATGTATAATACTTGTGAGAATGTATCCTTTACCTCTTTGATTTGATCAGTTTATCAATAAAATACAATTATTCTGTAGGATATCATGTTTTTCACGTTTCTAGCCTAGATCTTTGGTTATTTGTTTTGTTTTGTTTTTCTTCTTTTCTTTTTGGTTTTTTGAGACAGGGTCTTCCTGTGGCCACAGCTGGCCTGGAACTTGATCTCACAGAGAACTGCCTGCCTCTGCCTCCCAAGTGCTGGGATTAAAGGCATGTGCCACTGTACCTCACTGGTCTTTGGTTCTTAAATTTTGATGTGCTTCAGCATCAACTATAAAACTAGAAATACAGAGTTGAATCCTGAATGTTGGTGTATGCTTGTAATCTCAGCACTTGGTAGATAGAGGAGCAGAGGAGGATTAGGACTTCAGGACTAGCCTTGGCCACATAGTGAGTCCAAGGCCTTCTTACAGAAATTCTGATTCAAATGGCTTAAATATCTAGATTTAAAGTATATTCTATGCTAATCTGCATTTTAGACTCAAAGAATTGGGTATTCCTCCCTTAGGAACACCTTAGGGGTGTTCTTTCTTAATACATCTATGTGTACTCTTTGTTTTTGTTTTTAAAAATGAGTACCATTGACTTAGGGACATAATGTGCCTCTTGAAAGAAGCCACTTCTAAGTGGCCATTCTAAGAAGCCACTTCTTGTAAAATACAGTTTTTTAGAAATATTTTATAATTAGTAGATGAGCAGGATCTTTACCATTTAGTCACTTTTGACTTAATTATGCATTGTGTTTGATTGCAGGAATTATGGAACACAAGCAATAATTTCTAAAGCTTTTCATTCATTGTAGGCTCTCCCAGAACCTTAGACATACTGTTCATCTTCATCCTTATCCTTAAAATTAGAAAGGAATAATGTTGTATTATAAGGGCTGAGGGGAAAAAGAGTTTACTTGGGTAGCAAGAAAGAAGTTAGCCTCTGTGGGAGTGTTCTTTCCCCCTTTTTCTTCTTTCTTTTTTTTTTTTTTTGGACACAGGGTCTTTTTATGTAGCCTTGGCTGACTTGGAACTTTCTAAGAGTAGACCAGGCTGGCCTCACAGAGATCTGCCTGCCTCTGCTTCCCAAGTGCTGAAAATAAAGTCATGTGCCACCTTGTGATAGTGAATTTGCTGCTGTGTTTTACCCTATTAACTGCCTACTCCAGTTTTGCTGAAATAAAAAATCTTATAGATGATTGCTCTAAATCCATTACATTTAATTCTTGATAGTAAAAGGAAGCACAGGAATGATCAGCGTGTGCGTACACACACACGCCCCACTAAAATATTTTATTATTTTTATTTTGTGTATGAGTATTATGCCTGCATTTATGTAAGTGCACCTGTGTCATACAATGCTGTGAGCATCAGATTCCCCTGGAACTGGAATTATGGATAGTTGTTGTATGGGTGCTGGTTATGGAACCCGAGTCCTCTTCAAGAACGCTAGTACTCTTAACTGCTGAGCCAACTCTCCAAGCTCCCATGTTTTTGTTTTTGTTTTTTAAATTGGAGATAGTGTGATGATATATTCAGTAACTAACCCACAAGATGCTTGTTTTCAGAGATTTCGTATTCATTGTGTAAACTGTTTAAAAACTTTTAAGAGTTCATTTAGGCTGGGCGTGGTGGCGCACACCTTTAATCCCAGCACTTGGGAGGCAGAGGCAGGCAGATCTCTGTGAGTTGAAGGCCAGCCTGGTCTACATAGTGAGTTCCAGGACAGCTGGGGCTACAGGGAGACCCTGTCTCAAAAAGACAAAAAAAAAAAGGAGTTCATTTAGAACAGCTTATGTTAATATAAAAACTGAAATACAGATAATCCCCACATACTTCCCTAGCCTGGTATTATTAACCTCTTGTGTTAGTGTGATATATTTGTCATAAGTAAAAACCAATATCAGTATATTATTGACTAAAATGTATAATGTACTTTAGAGTTACTATCTGTGTTGCTAATTCTTGGGTTTGACAAACGTGTGATTAAAGTCTAGTGTTCATTAGAGTTCACCATTTGTGTTGTAAAGTTCTGTGGTTTTGACAAATGAATAGCATTATGTGACCCCACTACTTTGAACAGGATATGAAAGGTAAAAGTGGCCTTAATATCATGGGTATTTGGTACAGTTGAGGAAATATGGCATAAGTCGTCTAAAAAGGGAATTATAATTCCCAAAGTAGGGTGAAAGCAGTAATAGTACATGTGTGGTATAATGACAGCTCTTTATGCATGAGTTTATATTTTAATAAATAGCATTTATACTTTGTTTGCCAATATATGTTCTCAAAATTCAAGCTGAATACATGGGCATCATATTATTCATTCATATGTAATAAATGTGATTCTTTTTATCTCTTAGGAATCTATCAAATGTGGAAGAAATTGGGACTTGCTCTTACATTAATCATGTCATTACCATTACAACACTTTATATTCAGCAAGTATGAACTAATGTATTCCTTTTTGTTGCTTTATTGAGACTAGTTTCTTAAATATTATAGTTAATATTGTTAAATCTTTAATGAAAGTAGTAATTGAAAAGATAATTAAATTAATATTGTCTAATAGTTATTTTAGAAGTATATATACTTTCTTGAGTTAGACAACTGTTAATACATGTTGGTATTTTAATTTTAAAATTAAAACTTCTTACAAATAGAGCCGGGTGTGGCGGTGCATGCCTTTAATCCCAGCACTGGAGGCAGAGGCAGGTGGATCTCTGTGAATTCAAGGCCAGCCTGGTCTACATAGTGAGTGAGTTCCAGGACAGCTACAGGGAGACCCTGTCTCAAAGACCAAAAAAAAAAACAAAACCCCAAAACTTCTTACAAATAGCTTTTTAAAATGACACACTTTTTCATATTATGTATGTATTTATTATGTATCTTATTGAATAGTATATTTTTTTCCAAAGATGTTTGGCTATCTATTTTAAATCTATCTTAGGAAAATTTAATATCTGAGAGAATATATGCAATCCATATGATTAAATGACTCTTACTCAAAGAGGAAGAGTTAGGCTTATATGACTAAAAATATCTTTTTTTAAATTTAGAATTACATTTTTTAATTAAAATTTTTTATTAGCATTGCTTTCTTTAAAAAATAACATAATTGCATTGAAAAACCTTGTAAAGGTTGGAGAATTTGGAAAGGGAGTGAATGGAAGCTCACAGCAACAGTGACAAATTTCCCATTATTATTGAAGCTTGATAGTATAGTTTTGTCAGTAAATAATATTCAAGAATTATTGTAGACACATAGAATTTCAAATTTACATTCTAAAATGCAATTACATATTTCTACAAAATATTTTATTTGTTATTTTTATTTTATGTGTATGAGTGTATTGCCTGCATGTATGTGAGTGCACCTGGGTCATGCAATGCCGTGGAGGTCAGAAGAGGGCTTCGGATTCCCCTGGAACTGGAGTTAAGGATGGTTCATAGCTACCATGTGGGTGCTAGGAATTGAACCTGGGTCCTCTGCAAGAGCAGTCAGTGCTCTTAACTGCTGAGCCATCTCTCCAGCCCCACAATTACATATTTTTAGTTTGAGAATTATATCAGTTTAGTTATTACAGTACTTTTTTTTTTTTTACCTCCCTAGGTTGTGACTTTTATCTCTAGAAGTTTAATTAGGTGTTTTGCATTTTGAATAACGTCTTATTGTGATCTGGTGAATGAAACATATGTCTAATTTTATGTTTAACTTTGTTCTCAGTTAAAAAGCAAAAAAAAGGAGAAGGAAATGGCTGATCAGACCCCTATTGAAGAATTTGTGATCCATGCTTTGGCATTTTGTGAAAGTTTATATGATCCATATAGAAATTGGAGACATCGAGTTTCAGGGTATGTTTTATAAATCATAATGTTCATTTAGAATCTGAATGTTGGGCTGAGGACATGGCTCAGTGAATAAAAACCACTTGCCATGCATTCATGAGCGCTTGAGTTTGAATCCCGAGAACCCTCATGGAAGCAGGATTTGAGAGTTAAATGTCTATAATCTCAGTGTTCCTGTGAGGAGATGGGAGGTGGAGGCAGGAGAATCCTGAAAGTGCAGACCAGTTAGCCTGGTGTATGCAGCAGAGAAAAACCAGAGACTCTGTCTCAGGCAAAATGGAAGGCAAGGATTGACATCTGAGGTTGTTCTCAGACTTCCATGTGCACAGTGCTCACTCATATTCAGACATGGATACATACATACACGGATACGTGGGTATGCATTGTATACCCAGGATAAATTAAAAACAAAAACTTGAATGTCATACATGATTCCTAAACCAGTGTCTTCTGTATGAAAACAATTGGAAAGATGCATATAAAGCCCACAGTTTGAAGATTGGGGAGATGGTTCAGTTGGCAAAATATTTGCTATGCAAACCTAAGAACCTTAGTTTGATCTCCAGAACCCATATAAAGGAGCTGAGTTTGGCAGGGTGTGCTTATATAAATCCAGCACAAAGGAGGCAGAGATAGGTGAATTCCTGGAACTCACTGGCCAGCCTTTATAGCCTATTTAGTAAGGTGGGCGACTCTTGAGGAACCTGAGGCTGACCTCTGGTCTCCACACTCAGTGCACACATACGCGTGTGCACAGTCCTCCCCAACATGCATCAAACACATGTACCTCCTTCCCCACATGAAAAAAAACAACAACAGATTTAACTCTGACTTGCAAAAAATATATTTGGAGGTAGTGAGTTAGTTATAGGGTGGATGTATTTTAAAAAATTTATTATTTTTTTAATTGAATTTTTGTATATTTCATATGGAACATCTTAATCATCTTTATACCTCCTTACCCATTGGCACCCTCCCTTAGCCTCTCACCCCACTGGAATTCATATATTGTGTCATTTGTGTTAAGGCTTATCATGTCAAGGTAGTGTCCCCAGGTGTCCCTCAGTGCAAGTTCATGAGTAGCTATACTTTTAAAGAGATATTCTGGGCTGAGAGCATAGTTCAGATATAGAATACTTGTAATAGGGGGCTAGAGACATGGCTCAGTGGTTAAGAATGTGCACTGCTTTTTCAGAGGACCTGAGTTTGATTCCTAGTACCCACACTGAGTGGCTTACAACTGCCTGTAACTCCAGCTCTAGAGAATCCGACACCATTGGCCTTCATAGGCACCTGCACTCACATGTACCCCTCTCTCTCTCTCTCTCTCTCTCTCTCTCTCTCTCTCTCTCTCTCACACACACACACACACACACACACACACAAAGACATATATACATAACTAAAAATAATAAAATAAATCTTGAAGAAGAAACTACTTGTAAGGCCATGAGTTCCATCGCTAGCATTCCTACTCCCCAACAAAACACACATATTTCATATTTTAAAAATACTTTTCAACAGTATTTTAAATTTATTTTTAATTTTGAAGTGTGGGTTAAGGTCTAGTTAGGAAAACAAGAACCATACTAGATATTTAAAAAGAGAAGACACAGTATAAAGAAATTGTTAAACATCTATTAAAAATTTGAGAAGGTTGAACTGGTGAGTTATTTCAGGGGGTTAAAACACTTGCCTAACAACCTGTGTTGGATCCCTGAGACCCATGTGATCTAAAGAGCTAACTCCAGGAAGTTGTCCTCAACTTCACATGCAATAAATAAATAAATGTAATAAAAAAGTTTTTGTTTTTTGAGATAGGGTCTTATTATTTGTACTGGCTGGCCTAGAACTTTTTGCTTTATATAGACCAGGCTGGCTTCAAACTCATAGAAATCTGCCTGCCTTTGCCTCCCAAGTGCTGAAATTAAAGACATGTGCCACCATACCAGGTTGTTATGAGTGCATATGTTTGTTTGAATGGAGACCAGAGGTCAGTGTCAAGTATCTTCAATTGCTATCTTATTTTTTGAGATAGGTTCTCTTTATTGAACCTGATGCTTATTTTACTGGTTTTTCTAGGCTGTCAGACCAGCAAGTTCATGTCTCTTCCTTGACAGTACTAGGGTTACAGGTGTAGTGTAGCTTTTTATTTGTGTGTATGAATCTGAGTGCACATGTGGAGGTCATAATACAACTTAATTCTCTCCTTTCATCATGTGGGTTCTGGGGATCAATCTCAGGTTGTTAGGTTTTGTGGGAAGTGTCTTTACTTGCTGAGCCATCTTCATCTTGCCAGCCCATGTGTCTGACTTTTATGTAGTTGCTGGTCCTGCTTCTAGTACAGCAAACAGTTTATCAACTGAGCCATCTCCCCATCCCCTGAGGTACTTTTACTCTTTTTTTTTTTTTTTTTTTTTTTTGGTATTTTTGAGACAGGGTCTGCCTGTAGCCCCAGCTGGGCTGCAACTTGCTATGTAGACCAGGGTGGCCTTAAACTCACAGAGATCCACCTGTCTCTGCCTACTGAATGCTGGGATTAAAGGTGTGCGCCACCATGCCCACCTCTGTATTTTCACTCTTAATAGCTACCATTAGATGATGGTGAAGAGTTGATAACAGAATATTTACATAGACTGTGACAGTCCACCTCATACGTTCTATATAATGGCACCATATTTTATTGACATAGACTATGTCCTAGAGGGTGGAAGTAGGAGGATCAGAAATTCAAGGTCATTCTCAGATACATAGTGAATTTGAGGCCAGCCTAGGCTGTATGAGATCCTGTCTCAAAAATAATATTTATTTTAAAAATGTATAGGTATGAGACTTACATAGTTGATTCATTATCATTTCGAATGAAGACTTCTGATGACAGCATAGACAAAAACTGATGTTTGTGTCCTAATGCTAAAAAGTGTGATTGAATTTTTGAGTGAGCAGCTGATCCTGTATAGGCACCATTATGTGAAATTCCAATTTCCAATTCCTGGAGGTATTCTTATATAAAATAGTATTTCTATGAAAAATTGTGTGAAATTGTCAAGAATGAAGTACAAAAGAGAAAACAAACCTGTGTGTGTGTGTGTGTGTGTGTGTGTGTGTGTGTGTGTGTGTGTATATCTATACATGTATAGTTCCTAGTGTGGGGAATTGGAAAAGGTATTGGGCAAAGGATACAAAATTTCACTTAGGGGAATAAGTTGAAGAGATTGGCTGTACAACATGATTGTTATCAGTGTATTGTATACTTGAAAATTACTGTGAATAATTTCTAAGTATTTTAATCATAAAATAAGTATGTAGTAATTCATTGGTTAATTAGTTTAATTTAGCTATCCTGAAATATGTATGTATTTTTAAAAAAGATCATATTGGGTACCATAAAGTATAATTCTTACCAACTGAATGAGTCCATCTTAAAAAAAAAAAAGGTCCAGTCTTTTTGGCAAGAAGTAAGATATAGGAATAATAGGAACATTGTAGCAGTTACTTGTCTTTATGTGACAAAGTACAGAAGGCTTGGTCACATTTAAATCACTGAGAACTAGAGAGAAATACTATCGCAAACTGTAAATAGACATTACATCCATAAAAATTTTCCCAGTCCTTATTGTAATATTGCACGGTGCAACTGCTACATGGCAAACGAGTGTAGCGTAGAAGTCAAAGCAAAAACAAACCAAAGAAAGTAGCGAGAGTAAAAATTTTAAACCATTAACAGTTCAAACCAAGTCATCGAATTCATATCACTGGGATCATTAAAACAAATCTTCCTATACATTGCAGTGTATGATTGAACTTGGACTTAACCCAAACCACGTTTAAAATTAGCAGTTTTGGTTGTGGTGGCTCATGTTCTTAATCCCAGCACTTGGGAGGCCACACCTGGGCAGGTGATCCTGTATTGTAAAGAAAGCAGGTTGAGCTCAAGCCAGAAGAGTAAGCCAGTAGGCAGTACTTCTCCATGATCTGTGCTCCAGATTCCTACCCTGAGTTCCTGCCTTGGCTTCCATTAATGATGGACTGTGCTGTAAGCCAAATAAACCCTTTCCTCCCTAAGTTGGTTTTGGTCAGTGTTTTTTATCACAGCAATTGTAAGCAAACTAAGACAGCAAGGGATTCAGACTTTAATTTTTTTACTTTGATAGGTTGTTTATGGAAGACCTAAACAAAGGACCCACAGCAATAACTTACATCTTATTTGTATTACTGTTCATTTTGTTATTGTGTTTGTTAGTTACCAAAACAACCAGATAGAACAAATTTAATTTAAAGTAGCATATTCCATAAACATTTAAAATTATATTTTAAATTTAAAATTATATTTCTTACTTGATGTAACAAAGAAATATTTTTCATACCTCATGGAATTTTGTTTAATTACTCTGTTAGCTTAATTTTGGTTCTACTTGCAGAATCCTATATAATCACTCAAATGGAACTAAAGTACAAGAGAAAAAAAAACTCTTTTCAAAATGTGAGGCTAAGATGTAGCTCAGTGGTAGAGTGCATGCCTACCATGCCTAAGACCCTGGGTTCCATCTCTACCATCAGAGTGGGGAAAGTTATACAAAATGACTTCATCAGTCATTCATGTATTTATCAAACATATATTATTAGTTCTTACATTCTGTTTACTGCAAGTTTAGTAAAAATCATTGCCTGCCCATAGTGAAAATAATTGTTAGTTATGCCCTCAAGTTTACTTGATGTAAGCTATTTACCAAATGAATATATGCACAAAAAGAATTGTAGAAAAGAGTGATAAAATATCCTAGAAAAAAGAGAATTCAAGAGTTCATACCAGTGGTAAGTATATAGGTAAGAGAAAAATGAAATTTCTTGTTCACAATAGAATATAAAGTGAAAATTATTAAATACAGAGTGCATTTTGGAGTTGAAAGAAAATCAACATTTTGATTTATGTATCATAGTAAAGATTAAAATAACTGAAATATTTTTAGTAAAAACATATACTTTGTGTTGGTCTTATCAAAGTCTATAGAAAATATCCATTAAATCTACTAGAATTTTCATTAGAAAACAGTCTCAGCCCAATGGTCTGAACCCATTGCATCCAAATAACATCTAAGAAAGAAGCAGATCGGTTTAACTTTTGGGAAATTTCAGTAATATTGTAATAATTCAATAACCTTAGTTGTTAATGTAGCAGTACTGCTAAGCAAATTCTGTAGCAGACTGGAAAATTTAATTACTGGCTTCATTTTAAACTCCAGTTATTTGAATATTTAACCTGGCTGTCACAATATATACTTAAAAAATTCCTTAATTGATAAGCACTTTAACATAAAAATTGTTGGTTTAATTCCTTTTTCAAGATGATACAAGTTCTGGAGATGTTTTCATGTTCAGTATACCAGTCAAAAGCAGAAAGTTACATTTGTTTTATAATTGCTTTTTAAATTGTGCCATTTCTTTTTGTCCATGTTTTAATTTGTTACTAACTTCTTTTTGATGATAGACGAATCCTTAGTTCTGTGGAAAAAAACAGACAGAAATACAAACCAGCTTCTCTCACCGTGGAATTTGTTCCTTTCTTTTATCGTAAGTAACACTCCTAATTCATTTTACTTTGTTTTTTTTTGTTTTTGTTTTTGTAAAAAATTTTTTTGAGAGGGTCTCCCTATAGCCCAAGCTGACCTGGAACTTGCTGTGTAGACCAGGCTGGCCTTGATCTACCCTCTGAGTGTTGGGTTCAAAGGTGTGCTCTGTCACACCTGGCTTTTTTAATCTCTTGTATAGTCTTTTTTTTTTTTTTTTTTAATTTTAATACAGGGTCTCCTTGAACTCACAGAGATCCACCTACCTCTGCCTCCCGAGTGCTGGGATTAAAGGCGTGTGCCACCATGCCCCATTCTTGTGTAGTTTTTTTTTTTTTTTTTTGGTCTTTTTGAGGAAGGGGCTCCCTGTAGCCCCAGCTTTCCTGGAACCCCCTTTTTAGACCAGGCTGGTCTTGAATTCACAGAGATCCTCCTGCCTCTGCCTCCTGAGTGCTGGGATTAAAGGCGTGTGCCACAACGCCCGGCTCTTGTGTAGTTTTTAAAAAATATTTTTTTATTATTTTTATTTTGTGTATATGAGTGTTTTACCTGCATGTATGTAAGTGTAACTGTGTCGTACAGTGCCCACGGATGTCAGAAGAGGGTATGAGATCCCTTTGAACTGGAGTTACAGACAGTTGTTAGCCTACATGTGAGTGCTGGGAATTGAACCCCAGTCTTTTGCAAGAGCAACCAGTACAACCCCATCTTGTGTAGTTTTAAATATTGTATGTATATGTATGCATATGTGGGCCACAGTGCCCATGTAGAGGTTGGAAAATAACTTGTGAAAGTTGCCTACGTAGAGGTTGGAAGATAACTTTGAAAGTTGCTTCTCTCCCCTGGGACTACCATATGGGTCCTGGGGACTGAACTCAGGTGATCAGGTTTGGTGGTAAGTGCCTTTACCTACTGAGCCATGTTGCCAGCTCCCTTGCATAGTTTTTAATCAGTTGTGCTATATGTTTTGACTGCTGTAATAAAATATTATAGACTAGGTAGCTTAAACATCAAAATTTATTTTCTCAGAGTGTTGGAGACTGGACAGTCCAAGTCCCAGCAGGCTTTGGTTTCTGATGAGGTCTCTTTTTGTGACTTGCAGATAATCTCTTTCTTGCTATACTCTTGAGAGGTTAGAAAGACTGGTATTTCTTATAAGAACATCAGTTCTGTTGGATTAGGCCTTTACGTCTATGATCTTATCTAACTTTAATCACCTCAAAAGCCCTGTCTCTAATTTAGTAATGTGGGGGTGTGAAGTCAGCCATCAGTATATGCATTTCAGTCTTTACTATTCCATCTCTGATCCCTTCAAATTCCTGTGTTTGTTACATGCAAAATACATTCATTCTTTCATAGTAGCCCCAAATACCATAACTCATTCCAACATTAACTCTTTACAGTCTAAATTCAAGTCTCACTTAAAGGCCAGGCATGGTGGCACACGCCTTTAATCTCAGCACTTGGAAAATAGAGTCAGGCAGATCTATGTGAGATCAAGGCTGGCACGGCCTACATAATGAGTTCAGGCCAGCTGGGACTACAGGGTGACCCTGTCTCAAAAAAACTAAACAAACGACTGGAGAGATGGCTCATCAGTTAAGAGTACTTGCTGCTCTTGCAGAGGACCTAGGTTCAATTCTCAGCACCTATATGGTGGCTGACAACTGTCCAATTCCAGTGGAATCTGATGCCCTCTTCTGACCTTGGGCATTGCACAACACAGATGCACTTAGGTACATGCAGGCAATACACTCATGCACATAAAATAAAAAAATAATAAAATATTAAAAACAAACAGAAAACCCAAAGTCTCACCTAAAGTTTACCTGAATCAGATATGGGTGGAACTCAGATACAGTTGCAGTGAGTCAACTTTCCTCTCTGTGAACCTGTGACACCACTAAGTTAGGTGCTTCTGAAATACAATGATAGTTTAAGTACAGGATACACATTCTCATTTTAAAAGGGGTAAATGGGAAGGAAGAAAGGGGTGACATGTTTCAAGTAGTTTTAAAGTCTGGAAGGATGAATTCCAATAGACTTTAAAGCTCGAGAATAATCTTTGGGTTCAGTACTTGGCCCTTTATCCATTAAGGTGCTGGTGTTGTACCCTGTAGCTCTGTAGGGCATTCTGCTTGTTTATTTGTTTATGTATTTATAATTAGTCTATATATCTGTGCATGACGTGTGAGTGTGCTTGCTACAGTGTGCATATGGAGGTCAGAGGACAACTTTGTGGAGTCAGTTCTCTCTTGTTACCTTTACAAGGATGGAACTCAGGTTGCCAGGTTTGCATAGCAAGCGCCTTTACTGGTTGCGCTCCCCCCACCCCCTTAAATTTATATCAGATAGTCTTATATTTTCTGCTGTCTTTGAGGGTACCACCCACATGTTCGTCTGTGTGAGCCTAACTCTGCCCCTGAAGCTCTGAGTAGGTCATCCACTGAAATTGAGAAATGACCCCAATCTTTGAAACCTACCAATAGCTTTTGAAATTACTTTTTCCCCTTGCTCACTGTGTCTGTAATAGGAGTGGAACCCAGAGTCTCTGAATTGCCTTCAGAGTTATTCAGTCATTCTTTCCTTTCCTAGAACAATAGCATATACTCACAACTGAATGGTGTGGTCCTGTACAATCCAAGAAATTCAGCAGTTTACTTTCATTCCTTTCTGTTTTCTCTGTTCCTTTTTAGTTGAAAATGGTAGTGTCTTTACTGGTATTATCCCAACCTTCTTCCTGACCTGTACTGAAGTGGCTAATTAAATCAGTAAGTCATATTGTCACTTGGATCTTTGATCTCCTTGTCTCCCCAGTCTTTATGATCTTCATCAAAATAATTCTATGAATATAGAGTTTATTGCCAAGTAGAGTGCATTTACAAGGGATGAAGGTATACAATGGCCAAAGAGGTCTGTGCCCAATCTACATTTTAGGAAGGTTGTATACTATTTTCTAAAATCTAAAACAAATAGCTTTTTCTGTGGGACTTTGTCCTGTCTAAGCAATGGATGGGCCTGTTTGGATTGTCTGTTATTGTTCTTTAGAAGAATGTCTTCTTCTATATGGTAATCTTCAAAGGTTTAGAGCTCTTGGAGACAGCTTTAGTTATCCATTAATGGCTTTTTAGGCAGCTCCAGGATGAGTGACAGGAACCAGGTCTCATTCTTAGCAGTAATAAAACCCCTGCAGTTTCAGTCCTTTGTTTTATAGAATTCCAGCCTCAGTGTCCTCTGACACTATCTTAACAACCTCACTCAAAAGTTGAGACCCCAAAAATCATTTAGGAGAGGAACATTGGGTTAGTCTGGCTGCTTTTGGCTGGAGTGTAGAAGGGTTATTAGGGTTTCCATTCTTAGTTACTTTGATTCCTCAGAGGATGACCAAGGGATCCCAGATATATAGAGTTATACTTTATTGAGAATTTCATAAACATATAGAAAGAAATATTTACCCCCATTTTCCCCCTTCAAAACCCTCCTGTTTTGTGACACTCTTCTGGGGAGATGTGAATAAACAAGGATCCAACAACATACCAAGTAAGGATACCACTAAAATTCAATTTGATGAACCAGTCTGTTTTACTGAGTTTACTTATAGGAGTATGGATGAGGGGTTATTTATAGGAGTAGAAAAGAGTCAAAGACAATTGCATCACAAAAAGCCCACCCCAGCATGGGCAATGGCTAAAGAAAGTAGGAAGCCTGGAGTGTACTGTGCAACTTGTAGGCCGTTCGACTAATTAGTCTTTTGAGTTGTTCTGAGCTCTTCCAGGCAGCACACTGGGTCTCTGAGAGTCTTCTAGGCAGCTAGGCTTGTCTGAGTGTCTCTCAGCAGTCCTTAGTACTTATATACACTTCAGGAGGGAGAGACCCAAAGTATCTTGTCAGTTTCAGGAACTTTCTGAAGTCTTTGAGTTGTTTGCTTCTTGAGCTTAATGAGCTTCCCTAGAGGATGGAAAGTTTCACTTCCCCTTAGAACATCCTGTATCTTAAGGAGCTTCCCTCCAAGTTTTAAGAGAGCCCTAATCAATACTTCCACATCCTTCATATCCCACTAGTGCATCCTTGTCCCAACTTAACACCTTTTTTTTTTCCCCCAAATAACCCACTAAGTCTAGTAAGTGTCTCCCATATATACATGAGTGTGGGGCCATCCACTGGAGCATGGGAATTCTACCAGTGGCTCCACCCTCAAAAAGAAGTGATTCTTCCCCTAGCAGCTATCCACTGCCACTGGCTCCTCAGAAAGGGCTGGGGCCTAGAGATTGTCTACCCCATTTGTGTACGAATATTGGCTAGCTTGATCTTGTGCAGGTAAGCTCAGTTGCTGTGAGTTTATGCCTGTGATAGTCATGTTGTGTTCAGAAGACAGCATTTCACAGCACTCCTCCCCATCCTCTGGCTTTTACATTTTCTTCTTCCTCTTCTGCAATGTTCCCTGAGCCTGACGGGGAGGGAGTGAGTTTGATATTAATATTCTGTTTAGGGCTGAGCACTCAGTCTCTTATTCTCAGCACCATGATTAGTTAGTCGTCTTTCTGTTCATTAGATTTAGGAGGGCAGGAAAAGGAGTTTGAAATTTAGAAATAAGAACCAGAGCCAGACCTACAACAGGCAAGGCATGTGCTCCCTGGATTCAGAAAGCCCAACAAAGGGCTGACAAAAGCTCTTCCTTGAGGAATGATTATCTGTACTCTGAACGGGGAGCAGTCTGGGCTTATATAGGAACTCTGCTACAAAGCTGCAAGAGTTAATTCTGTTCCAGGGTCTGGTGTCCTTGAGGGTCTCTTTTCTGAAGATTATTTGCTCAGGCAGACAGGTGAGTTATTTGTAGCCCTAAAGGAGACAGGTTGGCTCCACAGTCTCTCTCAGTCCAGGGAGTGACCAGTTGATAAGGCTTGAGCAAGGCCAGGCTGCCAATTTAGGGCCCGTTAGCCACTATAAGGAATTGATGTCTTTATGGCCTCCTCTAATGAAGCTTAAGGCTCTCCTGAAATTCAC